GTTACTGATAGGTGACTACACACCGAGACCCACACCTACTCATACCCGACACTAGGGATGCAACGGTGACGATTAATCGTTAACCGCTCTACCGTTATTAACGGTGAACGGTGAATCGATCAGACCGGTGAAGCGGGGCCCGGTGGACCGATCAAAACGGTGAAGCGGGGCCCGGTGGACCGATCAAACCGGTGAAGCGGGGCCCGGTGGACCGATCAAACCGGTGAACCGGGGCCCGTTACACCGATCAAACCGGTGAACCAGGGCCCGGTAGACTGATCAAACCGGTGAAATGGGGATAGGGGTCGGCAGTTACCATTTCCAGACCGTTACCGGCGAACGGTCTAGGAACGGTAATAGGTCTACGCTTTAGTCGTCAAGGCATACTAAACAAAAATATCATAGTAAACAAACTATTTTAGCAAGAAAAATTTTTCTACAACAAAATTTCGAGGTGTTTGATCAAAATTTTATTTTTTCTCAAAAAGTCTATTTCTGTGTTCAAAAAACATTTTTCGAAAAAAACATTTTTTACTATGAAAAAATTTTGGGGCGTTTCAGTGAAAATTTATTTTTTCTCAAGAAATCTATTTCTGCATTGAACAAAAACTTTTTTCCAACAACCACGATTTTCATTTAAAAAAAAGGAAGGAGAGCATTTTTTGTTACCGCGTTCCGAAGTAACTGGTAACTGTAGCTACCCACCTCTAGCATTGGGTCCTCATACACTATATATTGGGATCCTCCAATATGCACTAAAGTCAAGACCCAGTTCACCGGTGTGATCGGTCTAACGGGGCCCATTTCACCGGTTTGATCGGTCTACCGGGGCCCGTTTCACCGGTTTGATCGGTCTACTGGGGCCCGTTTCACCGGTTTAATCGGTCTACCGGGGCCCGTTTCACCGGTTTGATCGGTCCACCGGGCCCCGCTTCACCGGTTTGATCGGTATGATCGTTCACCGTTCCAGAGCGATGAAACGGTGGCGGTAGGGCGAGTTATGATCGTCACCGTTGCATCCCTACCCCACACTGATAAAATGATCGGAGATGCTACATATAGGAGGTTGTAGCCTGGCAAAAACTCTACAAAATCGTATTTGAGAAAAAATATTTTACAAATACTTTCGACACTTACCAAGGATCACAGTATTCAGAAACTTATCATGCTTGGGTGTGAATGTGTAGTTGTCTATCAATAAATTGACTCTAGTTCCTTTAAAGTCTTATGAAAACAGGATTTACTATATATCATTCGATGCGTCTCCAAAAACTCTACAACATGATATACTTGGTTTTTCATTTCTCAATAGACCCCCTAATCCAAAAAGATCCTTTCAATGCTGTGGCCAGAACTTTTGTTATGCCCTAAGTATTTTAGTCAAAGATGCCTGCAAGAAACTTGTCAATAAGTGTCTTGAGAGAACTAATTATGCCTATGAAAGTATTGCTATTTCTTTAAACACTTCATGATATGCAATGAAATGCTTCTATATTCTATAATTTGATCTGTAAATCTTAATACTTTCATTATGATATAAGTGTGACCTCTCTCTCTATAAATTTTTATTCTTTTTGATAATTTTATCCTTGATTTTCGAAAATTATTGAATGTTTTCATTATTAGAAGCATCAATATAAAACTTTGAAGTTATGTATTTAGAGCGATTAGCAAATAGTGAAGCTTTTTTCCCTGAGGTTATCTTTAAAAATACTTTTTTCACTTTGGTAATTTTAAAACATTAACATACTTATATGATATCTTTTTATACGATTTTATAGTGTATTCACAATTGATATTTATTTATATCATAATCTTGACTAAATCAACATGATCTCTCATTCAATTCTTTTCTTTCTTCAGTTTTTTTTAATTTTTAAATTCTCTAACAAGTTTGTGGCCTCTCAAATGAATGATAAATGCAATTAAATGTTCTTTTCAAATATTATTCATATTCATTGAATAGAAAGTCAATCAATAAACTTTTATCTTTATAGATTGTCATTGAATAATAGAAATTGCTTTCACCATCAATTATAAGATGAATGAAGGAATTCCAATGCAATATTCCTCTTTACTTATTCTTTCCTTCGATTACTTATCATTCTCTATTTTCGATCTAGCAATTGTTATTTCTCTATGTTTATGTGAATATTTAATTGAACACTTAAAGGAGTTCAGTAAGGTTGGTTGAGTGAATGATATAATTGATATTCTGAACTCTGCGAATATTCTACGATTTCCATTCCATTTGATTTCGACCGAATAACTTTTTCACATATACTCATAAAGACATGAAATTCATTTGGATTTACTCAAAAATGCAAAAAAGTACAAGACATTCTCAAACATTTCTAATAGTAAAGACAGTCATGTTTTATAGAAGTAAGAAAAACAAAAAAAAACCTTACTTGATATTAGTGCAATTTTTTGATGAAAGTCAATATTTTCTTGAATTGTCATCATCCATATAAATCATTGTTCTTTTAATGTATGCGAAATATTTTATGTTTTCAATCTTGATAAAGGAACCTTTGAGACGGTGAATAAAGTTGTGGAGAAAAGTAGCAAGTTTCTAGTAGATGTTGAAAACTCTTTTGTTTTCGTAGTAACTCCACTACGCCTATATATATATATATATCCCGGTCAAAACAAACAGAATACCTTGTTCTCTTCGATCTCTCTCTTATAACAATTTAATCCAATCTCATTTTTATATTGTTGGTACACTAGTTATTTTTCTATCTGTTTTGAAAATTTTAGCTATCAACGTCAAGTTTCTGTTGAGAAAATGAGAAATTTCTTTTATGTTCTCATATGTTGTTGCGTCAAAAATGTGTAATTATTCTTATTTTGTTAATACTTCTTTTTTTTTTGCTTAACATTTTATTCTAATATTTGTCTTTCGTACATGGCTAACAGTTGTGGACATCTTCGATAGTGTTTGCCTATTGTATGATATGCTTATACTAGGCTGTTAGGTTCAATTATAGCTGCAACCATTCAGGTGATGCATGCTAGTTCAGTCAGTTATAGAAGTCCATCACACATCTGCTCTGTCCAGAAAAATTTCTTTCCAATGGTGGTTGGGTGCCATCTACATTCGACAGGCTAATGGCTTCAACAATTATTTGATCATCAATGTCTCAACCACAAGTAAAAAAATTTTCGAATGATCTTAGGATTGTCTCGATTGCATAGCGTTCGAGCGAATGTGTCGAGGCAGTAATTAGACCTAACAGCCTAGTATAAGCATATCATAAAATAGGCGAACATTATCGAAGATGTCCACAATTGTTAGCCATGTTCGAAACACAAATATTAGAATAAAACGTTTAGCAAAAAAAAATAAGAATAATTACACATTTTTGACGCAACAACATATGAGAACACAAAATAAATTTTTCATTTTCTCAACAGAAACTTGACGTTGATAGCTAAAATTTTCAAAACAGATAGAAAAACAACTAGTGTACCAACAATATAAAAATGAAACTGAATTGAATTGTTATAAGAGGGAAATCGAAGAGAACAAGGTGTTACGTTTATTTTGACTGGGGGTATATATAAGATGTAAATATTCTTTTCCTTAAATAGTCTGTTTTTTTTCTTTTAATCCTATACAAACAGTATCATTCACTGGAGATCAAAGGAGAATAAAAGAGAGTATACAGGTCAGCAGAGTATTCACAGCAAGAATGGCAGCAACACGCTGCAACTTCTGCAAATCAGTCACTACTTTTTACTTTGACACATGAGTAGAGCAAACATAACAACTAACAAAATAAGATCTCAATTACCGTATCTTGCTGCAGTGTCTCACATTCTCAAAATATTGTACAATAATGTGAGCATTATATAGCAGCGCGAAAAATAGCAATATGATATAAATTTGAACATCTCTACTTTGAGAACGCAATAGACTGATTCTTTAAATTAATGACAGAGAAATTCTGAGTATATTCATTCTTAAAAAGAAGTCAAGGATAACAATTCAGAACTAATAACGTCGGCTTCAAGAAAGATGTGTAGCTTTTTCGGTGAGTTCTGACATCTATAGGGCTTTCTTTAGTTTTTCAAAGTAAAAGAGCCTAACAATTTCGCAGAGAGTCGGAAGATATCTGAGTAACAAGAAGTGAATTAGAAAAGCTACTTTCTAAAACTTGGCAGACAGTTTTCTAACAACAGTTACAAATTTTTGTATAAACGACATATAAAATATACTCTTCCAAGCTGAATCTGAGAAGATCGATACCTTGATATTTATTGGAACTAATGAACATCTACAATTATTTCTTGAAGACAATAGCGTTATAACTAACCTATAATTCCTGATGTTGGTTTTATGAATGAAAATTGTAAATTCTCTCGTATTACTGGTAAAAATTCAGCCCATTTTATATTCACTATATGCTGAGGCTCACATTTTTCTTCTATTCCTATTTATGAACCACCTAGTATGTGCAAAAAACAAGCTGAAAAGTGAATAAACATACCTTCATTGAAAATACTGGGTAATCTGTGAAAGAGTGTTCCTCGCATTTCTTCATATTCTTCTGGTAAAATAAGTAACAGTTTGTTGATGGATGTAATAGATTGATCAATTTCAACAGCACTCGACTTTGAAAAGAAAAGTTGAAAGAAAAGATGTTGAAATCTTTGTCCGATCTTCTCAACCGTTGACTTATCATATAGATCATGCGAGCAGGTGAAACGACATGAAAGTCTACCATCATCCAATGCCGGATTATAAATAAATCTCAACATGAAATCAAATTTAGCCAAGTTAACCGATTGTTCTAATGGCACTTTTTCAAAAGTTCCATCATTTAAAGAAAAGTGATCCATATCATAAGAAATAGTGATAAAGTCAAACACTGTTTCGAGAAAATGATGATTCGATTGATTGAGATGAGAATCAGCAAGAATATATTGTAATGGATAATGAGAATGTCCGAGAACGGAAAAGCACTTTTCTCGTACATGTTTGACAAGTTCATCGAATGACCAATTAGAATCAAGTTGAATACGATAAGGTAATGTTGCAACAAACATTCCAATTATATTTTGTAATTCACTTTTGTATCGATTGGCATTGAGACATGTAACACACAGATCACTTTGACCATGACTTATTTTGAAGAGAAATGCATAAAATGTAGCTAGTCCCAGTTGAAATGGTGTGACTTTTTGTGCAGATGCATAATTTAGAAATGCTGTGGAAATGTCCTCACCAAAAGATATTTGCGCTATAGATGCAAGACCAGATCGTTGATCACTAGATGAACGTTTTCGATCAGTTGGCAATGACAATCGACATTCGAAATTATATCCATGAAGTTGTGACTGCCAAAAGTCACTTGATAATGTCATATCCATTTGACGTTCGTAAACAGAATAATCAGTGTATTGTAATGCTTCATCATCCAAAGGTAACGAGCAATCAGTCTCATAAGCAAGAGAGAAATCACGAAGAAAAATTGATATTGAAGCTCCATCAAATGCTGAATGATGAATATTGAACAATATTAAATCATCCT